CCTAACAGCAATGAAGGGAGACCGGACATTCACACTCACTTCCACGGACGACCAGGCGCAATTTCTCCTCCAGCTGAGAAAGCAAGAGACGGAAAACAAAGAAACCCAGAGAAGCCGACACTTGGAAGCAAAGACACACACACAGCAAACCAGGGCCAACAAAGAGTCACCACACTTCGGCATCACTGAGGAGACAAACCCTCACCTGAGCGGCTTACCACAGCACTCACTCAGAGGACCACCAAATCCCAGGTGACGGCGAGTATATACGCAGCACCACACTGATAGGGAAAACCATCAACCAAGTTATATGCCCCAGAAATCCAATTCCAGATGTTATACCATTTTAGCTAAAGCTAGAGACTTTCCTCTCCCTAATGTTTAGCTTACAGAGAGCATAATGTTGGAGACCCCACAAACACCCCTAAAAATGGGGCTGTCTGCATTAATACAGGCTTGAGACGAGCCGTAACAAAGGGTCACAAGGGACCTGAGGTTACAGAGTAACAAACAATAGACGCTTTACCAATGATGCCACAGACTGTTACAGAAACGCTGTTTTGTTGCTTTTTACATTTCCCATACTATGACACTGTTGTATTTTGAGTACTAAACCTCTAATAAAATACAAATTATATAAAAGAAAATAAAAATTAAAAAGACTATAAAATAATGCTTAAAAGTAGGTAAATACAGGGGCAGAGCCTGTAAGCCAACCTGACAGGACGCCATCTGCTCCAAAGCAAAACCTGCGGACTCTACGAATATCAGCCAGCCTGAGCCTAATCCAAGTCCGAAACCTACATCGCCTGATCCAGCGAGTCGGCCGGTATCGATTAATGCCTTTTTTTGCCTCCCAGAAATGACCCCAAAGGAGACGCAGGTCTCGGTCCTCCTGCACGCCGACGATCCCGGACCTGGGAGATATCTGGGAAGATACTGCTGCAAGAGGAGTCGAGCCTGCCGTCGTCTCAACACTGGCTCCACCCCGACGGTACTCACACCGACAATGGGCCGACGCTCTCAAAAACTCCACGCCGCAACTGAGGGCAGGTATATTGGAGAGATGCTTCAGCAGCCTACTCCGCACAAGCCCGCGGAAGTTCTGCAAGCAGAGGCACCCTAACACGAGCCGGGAGCAACAGGGACAGGAAATCCCACAGCCTTTCCCACAGGACTCCTCAGACGACTCAGCCCCGACAACCAAAACTGGACCTGAAACTCCTGTGGGCAGAGATCCATAAACTGCTGGCCGCTAAATCCACCCTCATAAAAACACGCGGTCACAGAACGGGTGGGAACCACAGAGAAATTGTAGAAGTGCAGACCCACCTATCTAAATTAGATGAATCTATGGTGCAGATCCAGACTATTCAGCAAACTTTGCCAATGAAGTACCCTTATCAAGATAAGGGGTATCGCAGCTACAATCACGGCGGAGGCACTGCTGCATTATGTCCGCCGACAATCCTGATTCACACGTTGGCGAAAAAAATCACCATAGACAGAGTCTACCGTCACACCAGTACTACACCACTCAAGCCTACAGTGGCTCACGATGTAATCTTCAGATGTCTTACCATTCCAGACAAAATCCAGATCATGTTGGCTCTTAGAGGCAAGACACTCCTGGCGTTTGAAAACTCCACTCTCACGTTCTACCAAGATCTCACAAAGACCACCCTCCTACAATGCAAGGCTTTTGGAACTGTCACTGCCCAGCTGCATGCGGCCAACATGGCCTACAAGTGGGGAGAAAACTGCTCTGTTATAGTCCAC